GAGGAGCAGAGACGGCGGGAGCGGCAACAGGCGCGGTCTCCGACATAGTGGCAGCCGTCGTCCACGAATCAGGGAAAACCACTGGGCCTGGAGCAACTCGGCGGCCTCGTATTTATAGAGAGGAGCCGCGCGGTGATTGGTGCGTTGCAGCGCCCGCCCCGCTGCAAGGCAGAAAGGTCCCTTCTCCCTGCTCATTTTGTGTTTCTTAGGAGTCGAAAAAGCCTGTTTTTATAAGAATTTCTGCCACCTACCCACCCCCAGTTCGCGGCGGCGTGAAAAAGAAAGACTGTTGTTCTCCTTGGCAAAGTTTCCTGTCGAAGAGGCAAAGGGTGAGTTAAAAAAGAGGCGATAAACCCTGAGTCCTGGACCTGGAGAGACCTCGGGAGACAGAAACTTTTGTTTTTCCTTCTAAATAAAATCCGCGCCGTGGGCACTTAAATCCCCAAAGTAACTAATTATTATTCTTTAAAGGGTCTTCTCTTAATCAGAACTGAAAATCAGGGATTTGAATCGATATTTTAATCGCAAATTGATTTCAAAGAGGAGGAAGTAACACAGGCTCATCTTGAGCACTGAATATGGATTAGAAATCAGCTTCTTTGTCCAAAATCCTTTACCCCTTTCAAAATAATTAAAATAAATTAAGTTACTGCGTTATGCAAGAAGGCAAGAAGCAGATTAAAGTCCTTTGAAGGGCTGTTTGTGCCCCAGAAGGAGATTGCTTTTTACAGCATAGCATCTTGCACTGTGTGGCTCAGTGTGTACAATACAGACACGGTTCCCTGGTGCTTGGCTGCAGAAATACTTATTTTCTCAATAAATTAAGTGACCTAAGAAGTTAATAACGGCCGGGGGGTTGTTAACAATTATAATCGGTGCCCCATTGCTTGATAATTCAGCACGCTTTTTATTTTAATACAGTTTGACTGGTGAAAATCTGAGTCATCATTATCTATGGAGACACTGCTGCAGCTGATTTTTCCATACTTCTACACAACAAAACTTGCTCAAATTATCTGTTTGGGATCAGATTGTGAAATATTCAGGTTTTTTTTTACTTTCCAGTGACTGATTCCTGCATTAGAAATACTATGAAAAAAAAAACCAAAACATATCCAACTGATTTATCTGTTATGCTGAAGTGATTGGCTGTTAGCAAGAGGGGGAAAGTCAACATCTGTACCTTACCAAGGCCACGTTTAAACAAATTAAAAATAAATGTGTTTTATTTTCCAGGGCACAGACAGTGAAAATAGGTATTCTCTAATATTTTCATTATTGTCTACACCCCTTTGTTTTGTCAAAGGCCTGTGAGCTGTTTTTTACTGCTTGTTATTGTGTCAGTGATACTAAAATTTTGTGCAATGTTATGGTTCAAATAATTTGTTTTCAAATAGACTAATTATTAAAATTTATTTATTGACCTATAACCACTGAATATTTTCTTTGTTTCTAGTTCAACATCTATATGGCAATATTCAGCACTAAATATATAAGGTAAAATCAGAACTGGCAGCAGCCCTTTTTACCCCAAACTGCACATCCAGCAGTAACAAATTACTCTCAAACCCCTCCAGCTTTCAGGCAGAAAATAGGTATGGTAAATTGAACTAAAAATCGGTAATAAATGCTTAGTTATGTCTGTAGGTCAGGTCAAGAGGGGTTTTGGGTGGTTGGGCATGAGGGTTTTTTAGACATCAGCAATTTACCTCAAGTTGTATTCAGGCTAAGCTGACAGGACTGTGGGTTCTTTGCTGCAGCAACTTAGTGTCTTTTCCACCCCTACTAGAGCAAAACTATTCTTATGTGAAACAAACCACATTCTTAGTATAAACTTACCAGCAATTACCTAGATACTTTGTAACCGTAGTTTAAAATATTTTTGCACTTTAACACCCAATGCTATGTGCGATTTTTTAATCACCAAACACAGATTTCTTGATGTGCTTCCTACTGTTTGCTGGTTGTTATATTCTGGGATCTACAGCTCCTTTTATGAGCAAGTGGGTGGCTCTAAAAAGAGCCTTTGAGTTACTTTTAAGGAGGGAACACAGAAGCTTCACTTGCTCTTGGCCTTGTGGCTGTCGGTCTTCTTGGGCAGCAGCACGGCCTGGATGTTGGGCAGCACCCCGCCCTGCGCGATGGTCACCTTGCCCAGCAGCTTGTTGAGCTCCTCGTCGTTGCGGATGGCCAGCTGCAGGTGGCGGGGGATGATGCGCGTCTTCTTGTTGTCGCGGGCCGCGTTGCCCGCCAGCTCCAGGATCTCGGCCGTCAGGTACTCCAGCACGGCCGCCAGGTACACCGGGGCGCCGGCGCCCACCCGCTCCGCGTAGTGCCCG